CTTAGGAGTTTAGGGTTTACAGGGCTAAGGGGTTTAGGGCTTAGGGGTTTTGGGTTTAGGGTTTAGGGGTGTAGGGGTTTAGGCGGTTTAGGGTTTTAGGGTTGGGTAGAGCATAAGAACCCTAAGCCCTAAACCCTAAAACCCTAAAACCTAAACCCCTAAGCTTGCAGTTTCGTGACTTTCTGCATCCGGAGTGTTTGGTGTTTCAGGGCTGCAGAAATTGTCTGAAACTACTGGCCCTCTCAAGACTGGGACAGCATCAGGTTTAGGGTTTCGGGTCGACGGTATAGGGTGCAGGGTAACCTAGGGTTTTGGGTTTAGGGTTTCGGGTTTCGGGTTGGTTTCAGGATGCAGGGTAACCTAGGGTTTAGGGTTTAGATGGGGGCTGGGGGCTTCAGGGTCTTCACAAGTTCAGGGGGTTTCAGGGCCGCCTTGCAAAGCCGACGCACCCCAGAAGCCCCCCCTAAACCCTAAGCCCTAAGCCCTAAACCCTAAACCCTAAACCCTAAACCCTGCAAAAAGCAACACTGAGCCCCAAACGCCTAAACCGGGGCCCCCTTACTATACTAACTATAGTTAAGGGACTTAGAACCGAAGTTTGGATCCTGATAACCCAATTTAGATCCTTATAACTCTACTTATCACTTGGGAGGCCCCTCCTTGTAGGGTTTTAGGGTTTTGGGCTTGCTGGTTTCACGTAGCACGGCCTGATTGTCCTTAAACCCTGACCCAGAAAACCCCCGAAACCCTGACAAGCCCAGACGGCCTAAACCCTGAACTCTACCCCTCAAGCCAGGTGGCAAATGATGCTATCCAGGCACCGTTACCGTTGCAGCATGTTGCAGCAAATGCTTTTGGGTGGGGTGGGAAGGGGAGACCTGCCTACAACTCCACACACACATATGTCACGCCTTCTGCAAGTTTACTGAGCACCTATGTCGGGGAGTTCGAACCGACATCATGCGTGGGGTTCGGCTTTTTAAGATATAGGGTTCAAGGGAGTCTGGTTCGCGCCGCGATCCCAGTTACTAATTTAGGTTTCGGCTAATTGACCGCGCCACAGCCTGTGAAGTAAGAGCAAGGTCCTCGTGCAACTACCCTAAACTAACCCCTGCCACCCCCCCTCCCCCCCCCCCCCCAAAACAAAAAAAAACTAAAACTAAAACAACAACGCTGCAGGCGTATGTGGCCGCGCGCGCACGTTTGGAGAAGAAAGGAAAGCATTGTAAATACCGATACAATCGATAGTTGAAGCAAGCATGACACGCGCGTAAAAACATACAATTTTTCTCTAAATTCGGCAGACGTCTCACGTTTTTTTTTCAGAAGAGCCAAGCGTGGTCGTGCTCGTACTGTCCGAAGTGCTTTGGATCGGCTCCGACCTGCCCGGAGCGATCCAAACGGTATGTGCGCAGTGCTTCAAGCACAGCCTTGAGGCCCGGCGCATGCATCAGGTGGCGTGTTGCCAGGATGTGCACGTGTGCCAGGCGAGGTGACATGCGACGTACTCGGAGCAAAAGCACTTTCTATGTCAGATGCCTCTGGCATCTCCGGCGGAGTGCAGCAACTGAAACCGGACATCTGCTCGGCAGCGGCGAAACTCAGCCTGCACGTCTTGTGGCAGTGACTCAAGAGGCCCGGAGAAATGCTGGAAGAACCAACACTCACGTTTGCCGTGAACATCTCTTTGCCACCATCTGCGACAGCGGCAAAGAACTTGTCCCCAGTGCCGTCCAGACGCATGGATAACACGGACGTAATCATCGTGCGGGCATGGATGCTCTGGCCAATCGCACGCACTGGTAACACGGACGTAATCATCGTGCGGGCATGGATGCTCTGGCCAATCGCACGCACTGGTAACACGGACGTAATCATCGTGCGGGCATGGATGCTCTGGCCAATCGCACGCACTGGTAACACGGACGTAATCATCGTGCGGGCATGGATGCTCTGGCCAATCGCACGCACTGGTAACACGGACGTAATCATCGTGCGGGCATGGATGCTCTGGCCAATCGCACGCACTGGTAACACGGACGTAATCATCGTGCGGGCATGGATGCTCTGGCCAATCGCACGCACTGGTAACACGGACGTAATCATCGTGCGGGCATGGATGCTCTGGCCACGGAGGTGTTCGGCGTGTAACACGAGGAAAGGACGCGCGAAACACTGTAAAGACCGATGTTGTGGGCCTGTCCCAAAAGGCGAAAAGTGGAGGAGCCGAAAACACCGACGGCAGCGAGGGTTTCGGCATGTGACCTTAAGGAAACACTGTAAATACCGAGGAAATCGGCATGTCGGTTTTGCGCGGTGACATGCGTCTGGAGGGAACAACAAGTTGAAACATACCCAGTCCGGTTTGGGAGCAACCATACGCCCAGAAGTTAGATGCTACTCACCCCAGCCTGCAGCAGTACCCCAAACTTGTAACATTGCGCACAGACTTATAGCCTGCATGAACCCTTACATGTGACTGGTAGAACAAAACGTTGGGGGGGGGGGGGGGGGTGAATGCCCAACCTAGACACTTCGCCCTAAACCCTGAGCTCGTTTACATTTATCAACTACAGATGCCCATTCGGCAACCCTAGTCACCCAAGTCGAAACGACCCATGAGCCTTCAAGTATGATGCATGTGTACGGTGTGGTCGGTTGTTCTTGGGGGGGGGGGGAGGAGCAGGCAGAGATCGGGGAGAGTTTGAAATAGTTCGCAGAGTTTTCAATTTTCAATTGAAGCCGTGCCCCTGACAAGGATGGTGCCAACATTCGCAAAGTTGACATCAACGACGACAAAGTGCTGATCAGGCTAGCAACTGACGGCGGCTTGCAATTTTGATGCGAGCCATGCTGCCAATTTTAACGCCCAGCCCCTGTACCCAAAAGGGGGCATCAGGTGGACAGGCGCTTGGCTGCATATTGGTTGTTTGGCTAGGGTTAAACTTAGGGGTCAAGACTGATGGCCCCTTAACCCTTAAATCCTTCACCCTCAACCCTCAACCCTAAACCCTAAACCCTAAACCCTAGACCCTAAACCCTAAACCCTAACGGTCTCCTCTCCTCGCAGGGCGAAACCGACGCTCAGCCGCGCGCAGGATGTCCGTCATCGTTCAGTGGCCAGTTCAGCGCATCTCCACGCCCTTCATGGTTTAGGGAGTCGGGTTTTGGAGTTTAGGGTTTAGGGGTTTAGGGGTTTAGGGGTTTAGGGGTTTAGGGGTTTAGGGGTTTAGGGGTTTAGGGGTTCAGGGGTTTAGGGGTTTAGGGGTTCAGGGGTTTAGGGATTTAGGGGTTTAGGGGTTTAGGGGTTTAGGGGTTTAGGGGTTTAGGGTTTAGGTTTAGGGGTTAGGGCTTAGGGCTTAGGGGAGCCGCCTTGCTATACTAGTTATAATAGTAACTTACTACCTATAAATACCCGAAAAACCTAAATCCACAGTTTTCTTGCATACAACCAAAAAAATGTAGGTTTACTTCGAACTCAAAGACCGGACCCTGACTGGAGGGTGCAGGGTTTGGGGCTTAGAGTGTTTTCAGAGTGGGGGTTTCAGCTCAGAGTTTGATCGCGCCTCGTGGACTTAGCAAGCCTGCTGGAAAAGTTCGGGTCTAGGGCTTGGGGTTAAGGGTTTATAGGGTTTGTAGGGTTTCAGGGTTGTTTTAAGGTTTTAGGGTTAAGGGGTGGAGCTTGATGTCGCTGTGCCGGCCCCCTTTAAGCCTTTCAGGCTCTATACCGCAGACGGCGAGGGAAAAAACTGCGCACCTGTGGGCTTCTTGGGCTGTGGGCTTCACTTAAGTGACTTCGGTGGGTTCACCATTTAGGTGGTTGTCAAGATTATGGTCCCTTTTTGGACCCCTACTATAATACGGCACCTAATATTTAGGGTACCCCACAAAGGGATCCTAATATTTGACAACCACCCACTTAAGTGACTTCAGTGGGCCCACCATGTCAAGATCTCTTGGATGCAGGTATCCTGTGGATGGGGCATGATGGGGCTAAATTTTCTAAAAAGATTTTTTTCGAGGGGCCCGGACCGCGATTGGGCAGCAATCCTACACTGGCGCCGCGCTCAAAGGCTCGAGGAGAAACTTTTCGTTTAGAAAGTAGCGCGAGCATTTACAAGACCACATCTCTGCAGCATCGCTGTCTCCCCCTGCGGGGTCTTGGCGCCTTGTTCTGCAGTTTAGGGTCCGTGAAACCCTAATCAAAGCTTTGGCCCACAAGCTTGAGGCCCCTTTCAGGACTGTTCCCTGAATTTTCAGGATTGTTCCCTGAATAGGCTGGGTTTATGGTGTAGGGTTTCGGTTTCTTCCCCCCAAACAGCAACGTTTGGGCTCCTTTGCTCAGAAGAAAAGAGGAGTCCGCCTGGTTGGATGTGTGCGACGCGGTTTAGGGTTTGGGGTTTAGGGTTTGGGGTTTAGGGTTTAGGGTTTGGGGTTTGGGGTTTAGGGTTTAGGGTTTAGGGTTTAGGGTTTAGGGTTTTCGGGGAAGGCTTAGATGGGTGGAACGCGCTCTGGAGCTGGGGGCTCGCGGGTTTGCATGTGAGAAGCGCGGCCCCCGGGGCTGAGGGTCCGCGGGTTTGGCTGGGTGTTTCCTCCCATTTTTTGTTACGCCCATGCTGCTTGGGGTCTTCAGCGGTACTTATTCGGGTTTGTTTAGGGTTTATAGGGTTTAGGGCCTCCTTTAGGTTGCTTAGAGTCTCTAGCAGCCCCAAACCCTAAACCCTAAACCCTAAACCCGGAACAGTTTACCAAGTTATTTCCCAAGGCAAATCTCTCATGGCCTGCGCCCGAGAATCACCCACCCAACTCCCCAGCCTCGGAGTGCCTAGAGCCTCAACTTCGCCCCGAACTTTTTAGGGTTTAGGGTATAGGGTTTTAGGGTTTAGGGTTTAGGGTTTAGGGTTTAGGGTTTAGGGTTTAGGGTTTCCTTGAACCCACAACCCTGAAGCCCAAGTTCTTTGCACCCCCGAGTCCCAGTAAAAGCCGGGACTTCAGGTGCAATGTCTCAAGCCTCGCGAGAGTCCTCGACCTCCTTCGTACCGGGCCCTCAAGGCGCCGTTTAGGGTTTAGGGTTTAGGGTTTAGGGTTTAGGGTTTAGGGTTTAGGGCTTAGGGCTTAGGGCTTAGGGTTTAGGGGTTAGGGTTTAGGGTTTGGTATTAGGGTTTAGGGTTTTGACTCTGGCTCTAGAGGGGTGAGAAGGATGAGGAAACCCTAAACAACAAAAACCCTAACCCTTAAAACATCCTAAACCCTAAAATGCCCTAAAGGCCCTAAAGGCCCTAAAGCCCTAAAGGGCATTTGGATAGCTTCTGACTTCCGCATCGGAGCTGGAACATGTAAGACGCACACATTGTCTGCCAAGCCTGTGCAGATACACGAGCACCCTAAACCCTAAACCCTTGATCCTAAACCCTAAACCCTAAACCCTAAACCCTGAACCCTAAACCCTAAACCCTAAACCCTAGGGTTGAACTCAAGGATGCTTCGCCCTATTGGCTTGCGCCTATAGGATGAAGGAGGAAATCAGGTTGCCTTCAAGGAGGGGCCCCCCCTTACTATACTAACTATAGCTAAGGGACTTGTTGTTTAGGGTTTAGGGTTTAGGGTTTAGGGTTAGGGTTTAGGGTTTAGGGTTTAGGATTTAGGGTTTATAGGGTTTAGGGTTTAGGAATTTGGGCTACTAACTATAGTTAAGGGACTTATAACCTAAGTTGAGATCCTTATAACCCAATTTAGGGTCCTCATAACTCTACTTATAACTGCTGGGGGCCCCTCCTTGTTTGTTTGGTAACAATCACAGGAACAAGCCGCTCATGCAGGGCTCTCTCATGTTTTGTGATCTCAGACATGTTCAGGGGGCCTGTGCAGATATGGGAGTTTCCGAAATTAGGGGTACCTTATTGGGTCCTTCTTACAAGGGTCCTTCTTACAAGAGAATCCTGCTACTTGGGGGTTTTGTATTTGAAGTCCCTGATTTTCGGAAACCCCCCATATGTAGAGGCTGATGCTGGTTTCCTTTCGTTGTCTCTGTAGCTCGGTTGTTCATCCTGCACTCAAGGGCCTACTTCGGGAAGTTGGGGGGGTTTAGCGTTTAAGGGTTAGGGATGATTCAGGGATGATTCAGCGCAGGGCTTCGCACCTTGTGCAAGAACTCGCCAATCTCGTAAGCTGCCCTGTGAGGCCACCAGGCCAACCAAGCGCGCGCACACGCTCTGACTGTCATGCACCATGCATGATGTTGTGGACGACTAGTTTCCGACGTCACCCTTCATTCATCTGCAGCACCTGCTGTGTGTTTGTGTTTGTGTGCGTGTGTCTGGATTTTGTTTTGTGACGAATGAGACGATGAATGAACGAACAATGAATGAATGCATGAAATGAATGTGAGATCAATGAATGATATGAAATGTGTGGAATGCAGGGAATGAATGGAATGCATGTTAAAAGCATGTTTCAAATTAATTAGATGAATGAAATGAACGAGGTGAACATGTAATGAATGAAGCAAAGCGTAAGGCATGAAATGAAACCACATGAATGCACGAAGTTAAATGACATGAAATGACACGAAACAAATGAAAATTACTGAGATGAATGGGTTGCAAATGAATGAAATGAAAGATGAATGGTGTGAATGGACTGAATGAAGTGAATTGGGAAATGAAAGAAACCCTAACACCTAAATCCTAAACCCTAAACCCTAAAGGACATGGACATGCGTGATCGAAGTGAAAGAACGGACACGACCATGATGAATGTAAGAACGAACGAATGAATGACATGAACAAAGCGAACGGCATGAATGAAACAAATGAAGGAATGACACGAGTGAATGCCATGAAGAACAAATGGCGTGAACGATTGGTTTTGTGCACTGAATGTATGGAAAGATGGATGGACGAACACAAAGTTTAAGAATGACATATATGTATGTGCGCATGCGTGCAGGTATTGCGAGGTTATGCATCATTCCCCACCCTCGGTGTGGGGTTGTTAGATTTGAACTCAACTCTTCCTCGCCCGGGACTCTTCTCCTCGCCTGCAACTTTTCTCCTCGCCCGGTCTAGCCCTCGCTCGTCCGTGGAGTGCCCAACCGCAGAGTGTCCTGTCCCCAGAGTGCCCAACCCCAGAATGCCCTGGAGTGCACAAGCCCAAATTGTCCCTCGAGTGCCCAACCCCATCTCTACCCAGAGAGGGGGATGTTCGAAGCAAAATGTTTTTGTGATGTCATGTGCTGTCTTGTCCTTTTTCGGGGAAGTTATGGATTGTTACATGAAGTGATGTAATATATTGTAATATAATGTTATGTGTTGCTATGTTGTGTCATGCCATGTTATGTTTTCATTATGTGTATGTCTGTATGTATACAGTCGTATATATATATATATATATGCATGCATGCATACATGTGTATATATACATGTATGTACACGTATATATTATGTGTATATATATATATATATACACCTTTAGATAGAGTTTGTTTATGTTTAGTGTTCGTCCTTGTTACAGTGAGAGCCGAATGTGTATGCGTAGCCATGTGTACCTACAGTGATACACACGAGAATATGGACACTATAGGAGTCGGAATAATTGCTACAAGGAGGGGCCCCCCCTAGTTATAAGTAGAGTTATAAGGATCCTAAATTGGGTTATAAGGATCCTAACTTAGGTTATAAGTCCCTTAGCTATAGTTAGTATAGTAAGGGGGTATTCCCTCATGGCCCTCCTGGCTTCGTCTGTCGTCAGCTCGGGATGCTCCCCCTTATACTAACAGTCCCTAATGGGGATTGTAATCGGGGGTGCTATAATCCCTACTAACGACTGCTAGTATACGGGGGAACATCCCAGCCCTCAACCCCAAAACCCTAAACCCTAAACCCTAAACCCTAAACCAACGCCTATCCAGCTGTGAGACGACAGGAAACCCCTCTCCCACCGATGCGGTGGCAGCCTTGAAGCTCGAGTTTGATGCTTGGCTGCTTAGTGTCGTGCCCTTGTGCGGTCGCTTGGGTCCTAAAGCTGCTATATAGGAAACCATTGAAACCCTTACCCTAAACAAGGTCCCTAGTTCGGTGCGTCGTCTAGGGTGTTGAGTTCATGCTCGAGGTGCGCGGAAGACAACACTTAGCCGCCTTGGGGCCATCCTACTTATATGATAACTCGCTTCATAGCTTCTAAGTCTCCCCTCCAAGCAGTTCCCGCCAGGGCAGAGGTCAGAGTTCAACACTGAAGCCCATTTCGTTTCTTGTTTGTCAGGCGTACGCAGCATTGATTCGAGGATACGCGGGCCTGGCCCCTTTCTGTACTAGCTGACTAGCTGAAGTTAAAGGAAATATAACATAAGTTAGAACATCAGCCGCTGTATCTCGCAGGAGGGATTTGTGGACAAGTTGCGGGAGAAGTTGGACGACTTGGAGATAACCATGCAGACGCAGCAACAGGCCAACCCCGAAATTCATGCCAGACCTCCAAACGACTAGTTCTCAATGTTCGGCTTTGTTTTGGGTGTCCTTTCTTACCAGGTGTCGTATAATATAGGGACCTAAACAAGGAGTTTAGGGTTTAGGGTTTGGGGTTCAGGTTTGAGGGTTTAGGGTTTAGGGTTTAGGGTTTAGGGTTTAGGGTTTAGGGTTTAGGGGGAACCCAATTTAGAGAACTACCCTAGCGATGTGGTGGGGTCTTCGGGCTCCGCAAAATCCCGAGCATGGCCTTAAAGCCTCTGGGAGTATTGGCCTAATAGGGCTTAGGGTAGGCTTTAGGGTTTAGGGTTTGGGGTTTAGGGATAGGGTTTAGGGTTTAGGGTTTAGGGTTTAGGGTTTAGGGTTTAGGGTTTAGGGTTTAGGGTTTAGGGTTTAGGGTTTAGGGTTTAGGGTTTAGGGTTTAGGGTTTAGGGTTTAGGGTTTCTGTTTCCAGGCAGTAGGCCAGGTTGAGGAGTACTTCCTCAACGCGGGGATCTAGGAAAGGATGGGCTCACACCCACTGTAGTTGAAGGTGAACCTAAGTCGTAACCCTAAGGCTTCAAATAGCCCAAAGTAGGTACTTTTTATAGACTTTAGACCCCAATGTAGGTATTATTTGTATACTGAGAGCCCTAGGGCAATACTTGCAGAGGGCCCCTCCTTGTATGGTAGAGCTTCGGGGATTCCCGTCGTTTCAGGTTGAGCTCGAGAAGGGTGGGTTTTGGGTGGAGCGGACACCCCCCCCCCTCCCGCACCCCAAATCCAAAAGTGTGGCGGCGTGTTCGAAAATTGCAAACTCGTACAGGTAGCCTTCAACGCCCTGTCTAGGCGGCGGAAGACTACACCGTGACCAGTTCTCGGAACACGTTCGGCGAGGCTCACGATGCGTTAGGGGAATCAGGAGAGATGTGAATGAGAATGTGTGGGTTGAGGGTTTATAGGGTTTAGGGTGTCAGGCTTCAGGTATCATAGCAAAGTCCCGGAAGGGCGACAGCGATACAGCCTGGCAGTGCATGCTCGGTGTTTTGTGTGATGTCTCATGGTGGGCTGATGCGCGTGGATTAAGGCCTCCCTTAGCCCGGAAACCCTAAACTAACCCTAAAACTCTTATTCGGGCACTTCTAACTCTACTGTGTACGCTAAACCTAAACCCTAAACCTAAACCCTACTACTAAGTCCCTTGGTCCTCCAATACGGGCACTTTAGCTTGGTTCCACCTGGAACACTGACATGGGCCGACCAGGGCTGTGTTCAGCGTTTGGGGTTTAGGGTTTAGGGTTTAGGGTTTCGGGTTTCGGTTGGAAAGATTTGGAAGGGGTCCCCACTGCTCCGCTTTTGCGCCGCAAGCATGTTCTTGATGATGCAGGCTGACATCGGCACCGGTTCCCGCAGCATCAGCCGGCTCTTCACCATCTACGACAACGACTCCATTTTAAGCAAAGAGGCGGAATGGCCTAGAGTTCCAGGTTTAGGGTTTAGGGTCTAGGGTTTAGGGTTTAGGGTTTAGGGGCTTGGAGTTAAGGCTAAAAAGGGTGCAGGCTTTAAGATATGAAGATAGGTTTTTTCTAAACCCTAACGCCGGTTCGGCAGGTGGCGAAAAGAAACACGCATGTCGCAAAGGCTTCATTAACCCTATGCTTCCAGGGGCCCAATATTAATAGCTAGGTTACTCGAACCCTTAGCTGCTATTTGTTTAAGAACCCCCAACAAATGAAAGACAATAATCCCTAGATTGCCCTTAAAAGGAAGATTTTTTTCTTTTGGGGAGGGTTCGTAAGCAAATAGTAGTTCAGGACACAATCATGAGAGCCCTAGAAGTGCAGGGAAAGACTTCGCATCCTGATTGTTGCCCTACTTCAATCGAGTCTGTTGTGCGCGTTGATCGCAGGTCGCGAAAGCCCAAGAGCCTGCGGCACTCCAGGACGCGGAGATGCAGCATGCGCCATAAGCACTTACGCATACCCATACTTTAAGGGTCCATGTGCGACATAAGGAATACTTGGGCCTTAACGTACTTGCTAAACAGGGACACTTGCGCATACCCATATTTAAGGGTCCATGTAGCTACATAAGGAATACTTGGGCCTTATAGTACTTGCTAAACAGGGACTTTGCGGCCCAAGTGTATGATAACTAGGTACATGGACCCTTAGGGATAGACCTCCAGCTGGGAATCTATGATCTCTGCGCGAAACCCCAAACCCTACTGATTCCTTGATTTTGAAGACTTGATAGCTCTAAAGAAACCCGCAACGACCCTCAACCCCCTCCAGGGCAAGGCAAGCTTTGGGGTTCAGGGTTTAGGGTTTATAGGGTTTAGGGTTTAGGGTTTAGGGTTTATAGGGTTTATAGGGTTTATAGGGTTTATAGGGTTTATAGGGTTTATAGGGTTTATAGGGTTTATAGGGTTTACAGGGTTTAGGGTTTATAGGGTTTAGGGCAACTGCCATTGGGCAAGGAACATCGGAACAAGCTCCAGGTGAAAAGGGACACTTGGAACGCAGTGCTGGGAACGCAAACCGTGCTCGCGCAGGGTTTAGGGTTTAGGGTTTAGGGTTTAGGGTTTAGGGTTTAGGGTTTAGGGTTCAGGGTTCTGGATTTAGGGTTTGACTGGAGTAAGCCACTAGGTAGGTTTTTGGGACATTTTAGATTTTCCCTTATTTGGTTTAAGAGGATCACATTCAGGAATATTTTTCAAAGGGTATTAAGGGCCAAGTATTGACCAGAAGCACCTCCTATCCAACAGTTCAAATTAAACAAGCACATCAACGCAGTTGCAACGGAGGGCGAAAGACATACTACACTTCAAGGACATATCACAGTCGCAGGTGCTGAGGTTTTGGTTGAGTGCAGGTCGCTTCGGAGTCCACTGATGCGACTCCTTTGTTCACGAACGTCATGACTCATCCGAGTGGTTTTCAGTCAGTCAGTCAGTCAGTCACAGTCACAGTCAGCAATGGCCATGCATTTCTTCTTCTTGCAGGGGGCCCCCGCCTCCCCCCCCCCCCCCACACAGCCTCCAAGTACCCCATAACAAGTGTGCCTTCATGGGGTATTTGGGATATGGGGTATTTTTCAAAAGTAACCCTAAACCCACAACCCTATCCCCCCCCCCCCCCCCCCTCCCCCCCAAACACCCTCCGGGTTTAGGGTTTAGGGTTCAGGGTCTAGGGTTTAGGGTTTAGGGTTTAGGGTTTATAGGGTTTAGGGTTTAGGGTTTAGGGTTTAGGGTTTAGGGCAAACCCAGAACCAAAAAACAACAAAAGAAACAACCTCCTAAAGATGTCAGCTCACGAAGCCTCTCGACCGCTTCCAAGGATCACACGAAGTACCTTCCACTCGGCCGCTTGTCTTCAGATCACAGGGCCCTCAACCCTAGCCCTAAACCCTAGCCCTAAACCCTAAACCGGCAGTTTATCGGTCCCTACAGGGAGGTGCTCCCTTGCCATACTTTCCAGCTGTAGCTTCCTCATCTGGGCCCTGCAACTCTAGTTACGAGTACGGGGGCCTCCTTGTGAGCCCCTGTGTGGGCACCGGCCACGGAAGAACTTGAGGGGAGGGAGCGTGATTTTTTTCAGGCTGGGTTTAGGGTCTAGGGCTTATAAGGGAATCGAACTCGAGGTGAGGGCTTAATTACTAGGGCTTGTTCTTTGGGAACCAACGCGCACGCCTAAACCCTATTCTTCAGCCGTGTATCTCCAAACCCAAGATCTACTCCCCCCTCCCCGCCCCCCAAGCTCCCGCAAAGGAAGCCGACCAAGTGGGAAACGTGAATGTTTTTGTATTGCAACTTCTGGTTCATCATCCTCTGTCATTTTTGCGTTAATACCCTAAGCCCTAATTAAACCCTAAGCCCCAAACCCTAAACCCTAAACCCTAACCAAACCTAAACCCGTCGCCACTTTCCAAAAACATGATGCAATTCCAAAGAGCACACCCCATCCCGCGCATGCAGTCTAGTGCTATGAGGGTAGGGTTTCGGTTTTAGGGTTTAGGGTTTGGGGTTTAGGGTTTAGGGTTTAGGGTTTAGGGTTTGGACCTGAAGCAAGGGTTTAGGGTTGAGGGTTTAAAGGGTTTAGGGTTTAGGGCCATGCGCAACGGAGGTCCGGTGAGTTCGGCGCAGCGGCAGAACGAACTGCGGCTGCACAATCGGTGGCTCCAGCTCCCTGGCCGGGCGTTGGCCAAGAGCAAACTTCGGGTTTGGGGTCTAGGGTTTAGGGTTTATTGGTCTAGGGCTGAGGAGTTTGGGGTTGAGGGTTTAGTGTTTACCCAGAGGACTGTTAGGGTTTAGGGCTTCGGGCTTAGGGGTTAGGTTTTAGGGTTTAGGGTTTAGGGTTTAGGGTTTAGGTTTAGGGTTTAGGGGGTGGGGGGGGGGGATACCATGGGGGGGGGGGGGGGTGGGGGGGGGGGGGGGGGTGGGGGGGGGGGGGTACCGACACGGGACAGGAACCATAAGTATGGGTCCCTACATAGTTGCACATAAGTATACCAATAACCCCCCCCCCCCCCAAAAAAAAAAAAAAAAAACCTATTCTAATTATTACGGCCCCCATGTTGACCTTGGTTTAGGGCTTCGGTTTTGGGGCAAGTTTGTACCTTAAACATTGGGGAATAATTCCCAACAATGAAGGAACGTTATCCTTTTTGATTTGACGTTCACTTCTTATCTCCGTGGTTGTAAAATCCGCTTTTCCGCAGCTCCTTGCTGCGAAGAACCAACAAGCGCGGGCATGGGTTCTTCGGTTGAAGCACAGAGTCCTTTGAGGTAGGATGGTCCCCAGGCCCTAGTTAGAAAGCCTACCCAGATCCCGATCTGTGGCTCTTTCTGCTATGTTTCGCGATCTTTTTTTGGCCGGAGGGCGTCACGGATGGAAGAGGGGAATAGTTGATCAAGGTGCCCTGCGCTTGCAGAAAGGGTCGGAACTCCTTCGGAACTTGACAAGAACAAACGGGGCCAGGGCTTTCGGGGCTCGTGGCGTGGCTTGTTTTGAATGGTTCTCAGCCTTGAACACCAAACCATACATAAACCCTCAGCCCTATAAGCCCTAAACCCTAGCCCTAAGCCCTAAGCTCTAAACCCTAAACCCTAAACCCTAAACCCTAAACCCTAACCCCAAGGTTGTCGATGCAGTGCGACCCCTTTGCCGCCATGAGCGAGCTCAGGCCGCCCTCACTGGACTTGAAGTGAGTCTTAGGGTTTAGGGTTTAGGGTTTAGGGTATACAGGCGGTGCTACAGACAGAGGAGGGCATTGGACCCGTGTTCGGAGACCATGAATCCACTTCAATTTCTAGAAAACTGACCGCACCACGCCTTGCGAGCTCTGTGTTGAGGCTTACAGCCTAAACCCTACACCCTGTACCCTACACCCTAAACCCTAAACCCTAAACCCTAAACCCTAAACCCTAAACCCCAAACCCCAAACCCTAACCCTAAACCCTAAACCCTAGTCTCTAAACCCTAAACCCAAGGGTTTGCGTTGTCGGTCTTTTTGTCGGTCTTTTTTGCCGGCTGATCCAGGACCAACATCCGGTCGGCCAGCCCAACACAGTATACCACCCTGAGGAACACTTTCGAATCGGTGATTTGGCTTGCAGAGGGTTTAGGGTTCCCACTTGGTAGCCCAGAGGTACCCTTTTTGCCTTTTTTGTTGTTCAAGGTTTCCTTTATAAAGTAGCCCAACCCCAAAAAGGTTACCCTTTTTCTAATGTGGTTGCTGGGCTATCACGGCTATCACGCCCATCATGGGTTACTTTGAGAGGGACCTGGAAGGTGGATTCTTCAGTAGGGTTCCTACGTAGGACAACCCCAAATTAGGGTGCGGAAAACGCTACTTTTGGATGCAAGGGCTTCGAGTTTAGGGGCGAAGGCTCAGCGAGCTGCAGGGGGGAGGGAGGGTTGAAGCTCAGGCTTCAGAGTTTATAGGGTCCCTGCTTGTGAATGCTGCACACAGCCTTTTTCCAGGGTCCCCACCTGCAAACGCACGATGCCAAAACCGCTGGGGAGAAGGGGCCAACGCATGGGAAGAGTGGATGCACCCAGACCACCAACGGTAGAAAAGAGGTGGTGGGGGGGGGGGGGAGAGCCTGGGAGGAAGCCAAACACAATAAAACCCTAAACCATCTTGGTAGCCCAGTGGTACCCTTAACCCTTTTTTTTGGTTGTGGGGTTCCACTACAAAGCACCCTAAACCGAAAAAAAGGTGCCCTGTTTCAAATGTGGTTACTGGGCTACCAAGCCACCCAAAACCCTAAACCCTAAACCCAGAAGGAAGCCAACCCCAAGCACCCACAGAGCTCTGAGCCCAATCGCCGAGCATGCAGAAGACTTGTGGGACGACGACTGTGAAGGGTTGCTGGAAGGTCAAAAACAGCGGGTGCGTAACCCTGAACCCTAAGTCCTTAATACTCGTAGGGATTATAGCCCCCTATAATAATACTTCCTATTGAGGACTGTTAGTGTTAGTATAAGGGGGAACACCCCAACCTGAAACCCTAAACCCTAAACCCTAAACCCTAAACCCTAAACCCCCGCTCGCAGAGGCAGCCAAGGAGGGAGGTTCGCGGCGGTTCTCCTGTAGGCCCCTACGGACAAGTCCCAGACCCTAGGCCCTGAACCCCTTGTTCTTGAAACCCTGAACCCTAAGCCCTAAACCTTAAACCCCAGACCCTAAGCCCCAAACCCTAAACCTTAAACCCTGAACCCCAAACCCTAAACCTTAAACCCGAAACCTCAAACCCCAAACCCTAAACCCTAAGCCCTCTACTCTCTAAACCCTACGGACATTTGAGCTCTGAAGTTTGCTGTGCACAGAATTACCCTCGTCTTCAGTTGCCCTGTGGGGCATGGCTAGACGGGTGAACCTTAACCCCTAAACCTCAAACCTCAAACCCTAAACCCTAAACCCTAAAGCCTAAAGCCTAACCCTAAACCCTAAACCCTAAACCCTAAACCCTAAACCCTATAAACCCTAAACCTTTCCACCCCAAGGAGCGGACAACTCCTTCGGACCTCCGGAGTCGCCTCCACCCCAACGGCGCCAAGCGAATTGCATGGGCCACGTGGCAGTGGCGTACACAGGGGTTTAGGGTTTAGGGTTTTAGGGTTTTAGGGTTTAGGGTGAGAGAGAGAGAGGGTTTAGGGTTTAGGGTTGAGGGTTTAGGGTTTAGGGTTTAGGGTTTAGGGTTTAGGGTTTAGCGGAGTCTGGGTTCAGAAAGGGCTAAGGGCTTAGGGTTTGACATGATGATTGAGAGCTTAGATCTGGCTAGCCCCCAAGCCCAGCTAGGGTTTAGGGTTTAGGGTTTAGGGTTTAGGGTTTAGGGTTTAGGGTTTAGGGTTTAGGGTTTAGGGTTTAGGGTTTAGGGTTCAGGGTTTAGGGTTTAGGGTCTAGGGTCTAGGGTCTAGGGTTCGGGGTTTCAGGTTACAAGGCTCTAGGGTTTAGGGTTGACAGGGTTTACATGGTTTAGGGTTTTGTCTATAGGTATATTTTTCGAGAATTGAGGTCAAAGCACCTGTTTTTAATTGTACTTAACCTTAACTTCAGGTTGCTCTGGGACTTGCATGGTCCAGGATCCGTTCTTTGCTTCTAACATGGTAGGTTGGGATGTTCCCCCGTATACTAACAGTCCGTAATAGGGATCATACTAGGGGGTACTATAATCCTGTTTTAAGGATTGTTAGCAAAAGGGGGGAAGGACATCCCAAATGGTAGGGTTAAGGATTTGGCCCGTCCAGTCTTCGAGTCAATGGAAACCAAAAGTCATGGGATTCTGGCTTGGACCGCTAAGGTTGTGATTTTGTGTTTGGGGGCCCTTTGTTAACGAACCTCTAAGGCAATGTAGGGTTTAGGGTTTGCTTTAGGGTTCAGGGTTTAGGATATATCAAGAGTATATTCAGGGAAGCTCTTAGGGGAGACCCTCAGTCGGCCCTCATTTCCTTTTTTTTCTTTGGGGGGGGGGGGGGGGGGGGGTAGGTTCCCTTCCCTTCAAAAGGGATCCCCAAAAGGGACCCTCGTTTAGAAAACTGCCCTTTTGCTGGCCATGCCATCTCTTGCTCATTTTCAGCGTGCGGTCGCAGCCACGCGCGGCGTGAACCCACACCCCTTAGGGTTTAGGGTTTAGGGTTTAGGGTTTAGGGTTTAGGGTTTAGGGTTTAGGGTTTAGGGAGACCCTCCACATACTATAGGGGTCGGAATAAATAGGAACAGTGTTCCCTTAGGGTCCCTTTGTAATTATACTATAAAATTATACAAAAACTAAGCCCCCCAAAGCCCTATTTAAATTATTCAGGCCCCTATATTTCTCTGCCTCCGCGCATAAAGGACATGCTAAGCTCCTTCGTTCTGGTGGTGGACACAGTGCTGCTCCCGATATACCTGGCCTGGGACTGGCACAAGGACGCTGGCTATGCCTCTACTAGGATGCCCAGTAGTACCTTTATTCCCGTTTTTTGTGGGTTTCGGTTCCCTTATAAATCCTTCAAGCAAAAAAGGGCACCTTTGTCTAATCCTAGGATACTGACAATCTAGTCTATGACTCTTGAGTCTCATCAGTCCTCAGCCCAATCATCCATTCTCTGCCTTTCGAACGGCGTTGGGGGTTTCACCGGGTGTTCGCGCATCCCAAACCCCTAAACCCTAAACCCTAAACCCTAAACCCAAAACCCCCTAAAGCCTATGGGCCCAATCTTCGTTTGTAGTTTAGTTTTTTTTTTTTTCTTTTTTTTCTGGTTGTTTTTTTCGGATCCGAAGCTTGCAAGCTGATCCGCGAGGACACCACAGATGTGGCAAGCTGGATGAACCTTGGGCGTTTGGAGTTTATGGCTTCTAGTCAAGAAACCCTACACTCTAAGCCCCAAACCCTAAGCCCTGGGCGCCGGGTTGTTGATGCGCAAGAGCCACCAAGAAACCTTGGAGTCTTCACTTTCAGCTTGCTCTTCTGGACTGTCGACATCATGATCAATCTCAACACGGCTGCCGCTGATGCTGGCAAGGAGTACTTCTGTTTCTTCGGGTTTAGGGTTTAGGGTTTAGGGTTTAGGGTTTAGGGCTGACCCCACTCAACCCCGCACAACCGAAAGCCTTAAACCTAAACCTAAAATGCCCTGAATGGTCACTTCTCAATCATGGTCCCACTAAGGTCATGTCAACCCTGAACCCTAAGCCCTAATATTCAGGGTACCGAGCAAGGGACCAGAATTCTGAGAACCCCCTAAACCCTAAACCCTAAACCGGCTGACCCCAAACCATGAACCCTGAGGTGACCAAATCCAAGCCATCCTTATAGACCCCACCTCACGCCTGGATGGTCCTAAGGGTTTACGGCTTAGGATTTGGGGTTTAGGGTTTAGGATTTGGAGTTTAGGGTTTAGGATTTGGGGTTCAGGGTTTGGATACAAAACGAAAAAACAAGAAAAAGTTTATAGGTGCTAGGGCAGCCAGTGTGCGTGTAGGCATGGGTTTCGGGCTTCGGGCGCTGCGCACGTCTGAAGTGCAAGGGCCCAGCGCTTGAGCGCACGATGCGTGGCAAAGCTCTCAAAGGTTCTGGGACAGACCCCCCCCCATGTTAGCCTTTTTCTATCTATATAAACATTCGATACATACAAACATAAATAAGAAGTTTTCAAAAATAGATAAACGTTTATGTCTATATGTTCCGGTTCCTCTACTTACAGGCATAGGGCTTTGAGGTTTTCTAGAGCTCTGGGGGATGTTTAGTCCTCTGAGTCCTGGGCAGCGAAGCCAAGAGGCAGTTGGGGGTCCTGGTGGGAAGCTTGAGATCCCCCAAACCCCAAACCCCAAACCCCAAACCCTAAACCCTAAACCCCAAACCCCAAACCCCAAACCCTAAACCCTAAACCCTAAGCGCCAGACGGCAGTCGAGGTCTTTCAAAAAGGCCAGCTGGTGTTTAGCCGCAGCGAGATTCTCCTGCAGCACCACGCCCGCAAGAATGGAGCCCAGGTGGCCCCAGTGGCCCTGGTTTAGGGTTTGGGGTTTCGGGAGGGTTTAGGGTTTAGGGTTTAGGGTGTAGGGTTTAGGGTTCAAGGGCGTCTCGCCGTGCAGCGGCAGCAGGTAAGTACGATGGGGAAATGGCGCCCCCCCCCCCCCCCCCGCCCCTCCCCCCCCCCCCCTCCCACCCCCCCCTCCCCCCCCCCCACCCCCCCACCACACCCAGGGGGGGGGGGGGGGGGTGGGGGGGCGGGCATGTCATGCGAAGGCATCTATTTTCAATGCAGTCCAACAGTTTTCATTGGTGCTAGGTTTCTTTCTCCCCCGGCTGCGAGCTTGCACAGGCCACCAGCCAAACCATGGCCTTAGGGTTTCGGGCTGCCACCCCCAGTGCTCACCATGCAAGGTGCTTCAAATCTTCACATTACAAAGCCAGAGGTTAGCCCCCCCGTCCACCAAGGGATTCCGGCTGTTCTCATCAAGAGGAGGATCGTGGGGGCTCCCCTTATGAGGCACCACTTGAGTGGTCCTCTCAGACAAAGGGGCTGAAGCCGACCTTTCATTCTCCAATCCACCCGTTGCCCGTCCAGTGAAGGTGTTTCTCTGGACTGCCGGGTGTAGAAGAAGGGGGACTGCGGCCTAAGCAGGCCGCTGCATGCTCGCACGAAGCCTTGTGAACGCAAAAAGGCAAGACCCCATTGACCCTCGAAAGCACCCTATCGCTTCGTGACACCCAATAAACTGCTTCCAGGCGCTGTGGATGGTTTGGGCTTGTTCGGGGGAATTGGGGGCGGGGGGGGGGGGGGGGGTGTATTCTTTACTTAGCCAACAGTAGAATTTTAATTTTTCGGGTTTCCTTGTTTGGTAGGACCTGGTAGGAATGAGAAAGTTTCAGGGTTATTGGAGCAGTAAGTATCGGTTGAGATGACTTCACAGGTTGTCAGAGTCCCTCGCGCTAAGTTACTTCCGCTCCTGGCTTCTCCTGGATGTGGCGCTCGTGGGACTGGATTGCGTGACGTGGCCTCTTTAAGGTACAGTCTTCCCGGAGGTTAGAGAAGATTGTACTTACTTAGCCAATAGTAGAGCTTTAAACTTTTTTGTGTTTCCCTCTTTAGTAGGAATCATGAAGTTTAGCCTCTTTGTCCTTGGAGAAGTAAGAAGTGTAGACAGCAAAGTGGTCAAGACGCATAAGACGCTCTCGTCATGGAGTTGCTGTTTGGGGTTAGGCCAATAACAGGCCTTGGCTTGGCAGCATCGGCGGAAGCCGGATGCTTGAGGCTTGAGGTCCTTCATCGTAAATCAGGGTTTAGGGTTTAGGGTTTAAGGGTTTAGGGTTTAGGGCTAGGGTTTAGGGTTTATAATTTAGGGATCAGGGCGTTTGCACCATGTGCTTGTCTGAGGTGACGGTGGCAAACGTGCTCCTGGAGGGTGCCATGGGTTGGGGGCTTTTAGTTGCCCAGAACCCTAAACCCTAAACCCTAAAACCTAAACCCTAAACCCTAAACCCTAAACCCTAAACCCTAAACCCTAAACCCTAAACCCTAAACCCTAAACCCTAAACCCTAAACCCTAAACCCTAAACCCTACCCCTAAACCCTAAACCCTAAACCCTGTAAACCCTAGAAGGTGTTGGGGTTGCTGGTTGTCGGCTTGCTTACCCAAGAACTGAACTTTCATTTTGGGTTTCCTTTTGTTGGAGGACTAACGCAGTTATACCGCGTTCATCCATTGCGAGTTCGTCGGTGGTGTTACGTTACTTCTACAGTTACGTGGTGATAGCCCATTATCAGTACCCCAAGGCTGCATAAACCCCCCAATCCCCAATCCTTAACCCTAAAGCCTAAACCCTAAACCCTAAACCCTAAACCCTAAACCCTAAACCCTAATCCCTAAACCCTAAACCCTAAACCCTAAACCCTAAACCCTAAACCCTACAGGGGCGCTGGCAGACCTCAGCTTCTCCCGCTTCGCGCGCATCATCCGCATCCTTCGCTTGCTCCGGCCCCCTCGAGCAGAAAGAGAGTATTTCGGGTTCAGGGTTTAGGGTTTAGGGTTTAGGGTTTAGGGTTTAGGGCTAGGGTTTAGGCTTTAGGGTGTAGGGCTTAGGGAGAAAGAGAGGGGTGGACGATTCGGGGTTTAAGGTTTAGGGTTTCGGGTTCAGGGTTTAGGGCCTCAAAGGGGTCCCTCTGTAGTAGCTTCAGGGCCCAAGTCTATACCAGATGGGTACATGGACCCTTCGGGTTCATTGATTCAACATCTGATATGGTTTGCGAAGCTATAGAGGCACATGCCAGAAGCTATCATCGCGGGTAGCGCATCGCATCATTTGCCTACCAGCAACTCGGGGAAGATGCTCCTGGTTTAGGGTTTAGGGTTTAGGGTTAGGGTTTAGGGTGCCGACTGGCGTTTCCATCGTGCGGAAGTTTTCGGCTTAACCTTGTGGCAAAGGGTCAACTCTCCGTAAACAAACCCCAAACCTGAACCCCAAACCCCAAACCCCAAACCCTAAACCCTAAACCCTAAACCCTAAACCCTAAACCCTAAACCCTAAACCCTAAACCCCAATCCCTAAACCCCAAACCCTAAGCCACCAAGCAGAGAATTCATCCCAAGCCCCCTAGAGCTAGGACGCTGGAGTCAGAAAAAACTCCTTGGTCGAAGTTGGTAGGTGATTCTAGGGGTCTTAGGTAGCCTACAAATGAAGCCTTTAAGGATACAAGAATCAAGCCCCTGGAAGTATAGCCCTAACGGTCCATGTACCTCATGAATATATACCGGGCCCCAACGTCCTTGTATAGGACGTACTTAATAAGGCCCAAGTACTCCCTATTTAGGTACATGGACCCTTAGGGAAGGGTAAGGGTTTAGGGTTTAGGGTTTAGGGGTTAGGGTTTAGGGTTTAGGGTTTAGGGTTTAGGGTTTAGGGTTTAGGGTTTAGGGTTTAGGGTCGCTTGAGCCTGAGGTTGGTCAAGCTGGCAAAGGTGGAAGGTTTCATCCAAGCTCCTGGCTTCGCATTCGCTCCAGGGTTTAGGGTTTAGGGCTTAGGGCTTAGGGCTTAGGGTTTAGGGTCCCCTCCCCCGAATATTGATATTCACCCCTCCCCGCCGCCCTCCTCCCCTACCCCCGAATATTAAACACTCACATCAGAGTTCTAGCAGCGTGTCTTGTGGGTTTTTGATGTTAAAGGGGGGGAGGGGGGGGGGGGGGGGGGGGGGGGGGGCAACATTAGGGGGGGGGAGGGGTTGTCTCTGGGGTCTACAAGGGCTTAGGGTCCAGGATTTAGGGTTTAGGATTTCTTCGAAGTACGTAGTAGTTTTAAGTCACCAATTTGCCTTTTTTTGCGTATCCTAGCTGAAGTTACATGTCTCTGAACTCCTGTTCGTATGGTCAGGAGGCTGCACAGGGAGAGCTTGAGGATGGCGTTTAGGGTTTAGGGTTTAGGGTTTAGGGTTTAGGGTTTTGAGATATATGTTTGTTATGATGCCGTTGCGATATCCTTGGCTCTACTTTGTTGGGCATTTCCCAAAATAGGGGTACCTCTTTGACACCCCATATAAAGTAGAATCCCCTTAAAGTGACCCCGCAAAAAGTAGAGGGTGACCGCATGTTCGGAAACCCCCATACATATACATACATGTCTGTATACACGTACACAAGTAGGGGGCCCCTTACTATACTAACCTTAGTCAAGGGAGTTAACCTACGTAGCAATACTTATAGCCCAATTTAGAGCCCTTGTAACCCTGTTTATAACAAGGGGGCCCTACATATATATATATATACATACGTATCTATATATAGAGATACACATATACACTTTTCAAAATGGTATGTAGCTCATTGTAAGTTCCTTTACGAGAACCCAGTGATGAGCTGGAAGCCGGTACTTCGGCGACTTGGCTACGAAACGTTCCTGCGGCATGCAGGTGGCTTGCTGGACCCTGTCTGCTAGGGTTTAGGATTTAGGGTTTAGGGTTTAAGGTTTAGGGTTTAGGGTTTAGGGTGTAGGGTTTAGGGTTTAGGGTTGAGTCTGCGTTTCTGTCTCAGGAATATGCCGCTTCCACTGGGCGACAGTGGATTGTCATCTGTGCAGCGATTGCGAACTCTCTTTTCGTAGCTTGCCAGCAGTGTCGGTAGCAATCTAGCAATGCCCTTTGATCCCCAAACTCCCCACGTAAACCTTGAAAAAGGGGTTGCGAGCTAAGGGACATCCAAGCAGGTAGACCCCAGAAGCCTTTCTGAACCTGGTATTCATGGCGATTGTGGGGCTACATGGGAGAATTGGCACACCAATTTGTAGGCCTGCCGGGGGGCACTTAGGGTTTCGGAAAACCTCGTATAGCGTTCAGGGTTGAGGTAGTTCCATGATCCCTCATATGGGCCCTTAGAAGGGTACCTCTTATATACCAAATGAAGGGCCCATACTTCAGAACCCTTTAAAGAGAACCCTTTAAAGGAGCCACGCCCGGCTCCAACTTTTTCTTGAAGCCCCCAGTGCCGCTAGTTACAAGCTCAGGCATTCGGGCTGCTGATTCACGTGCTGGCCTGCTTGTGGTTTTGGCTCGGCCGCACTCTTGCTCCTTGGCCACGCGTGAGGCATAAGGAAGTTGAAGTTTCTCTCCACACCCCCCCCCCTAGTTGCGAGTAGTTTCAGTGCCATGTTGTTGTTTTGTGTTTGTTGTTCTCTCTCTCTCTCCGCCCTTGTTAGATGTTTTAAGGGTTTGCTGCCTTTGGCGTCATACTCCTCAAATGAAAGTGCTAACCCGCCCCAATCCATAGTAGATGTAACGTGCATGTGGGTACATACACACATACATATTCTTATATAATTGCTGTTGTCTCAACTGGTTACTTATTCACTACTTGTTAAGTCTCTGTTCATCTTCTCGTACATGAGTTGCATGATTTTGGGGGATTTTAGGGTTTAGGGTTTAGGGTTCGGGGCAAGCCGCACCGCAGGCCTCACCCCTGCATCTCATCTCCCTTGCTGCTCAGGCTGGCGAGGGGCAGACCAGCTGGATTGCACTTGCGGGGGCGGAGCAGCTGGCCTTCTCCTATAGAGTAGGCCCTTAGTCCCCTTTTTGAGGGTTTAGGGTTTAGGGTTTAGGGTTTAGGGTTTAGGGTTACCAGGACCCAGAGTAGGCCCCCTTCTAAATAAGCCCTTTTAAACGACAAGGGGCGCCCTTTTTTTCCTAGGTTACTCCTCGGTCTCCTGTAGGTCCCTAAATACCTACTATTTGGTTAAGAGCCCCCCAAAAAGTTAAGAAAAATAGTCACTATGTTTGCCCTTACTATTTGCTTAAGAACCCCCAAAAAGAAGTTAAAAACAATAATCGCTATATTGCCCTTAGGAAGAATCTTTTGATCCGTTGGGGTGTTCTTAAGCAAATAGTAGAATACTCAACCCTCAGGTACGCCTCATGAGAACCCTAAACCCTAAAATTCCACTACCCCACGCAACTTGCCTGTTTAGGGCTTAGGGTTTAGGTAAACCCTGAACCCTGAACCCTAAACCCTAAACCCTAAACCCTAAACCCTAAACCCTAAACCCTAAACCCTAAACCCTAAACCCTAAACCCAGTTGCAAAAGCAGGGTTCCCACTACCCCTGGCAACTTGCTTGTCTTCAGGGGCAGGTTCTCAATCTCAGAAGCTCCGAGAGGCGGATCTCCCTTTATCCTGTGTTCCCCTACTACCCCCCTCTATAGGGTTTAGGGTTTAGGGTTTAGGGTTTAGGGTTTAGGGTTTAGGGTTTAGGGTTTAGGGATACACCCCCCCCCCCCCCCCCCTAAAATTCCCCGCATAATGACGGCTATATGTAATTAAGCCTAATTAGGGTTATTTCAGGGGGGAACCTAAGGGGGTATAGAGGGGAGGTAGTAGGGAAACCCTGACTTTAGGCCAAAAGAGCGTGGCAGGTCCCTAAAAAACGAACCCTGAAATTGGGGTTTTGGGTTTAGGGTTTGGGGTTCATGCGTTTTGGTGTTTAGGTTTAGGCCGACTTCCGTCCATGCTTCAAAAAACAGGGTTTAGGGGTTTAGGGTTCAGGGGTTTAGGGTTTAATCAGGGTTTAGGGTTTAGGGTTCAGGGTTCAGGGTTTAGGGTTTAGGGCTTAGGGTTTAGGGTGCAAGTATGGCATTGAAAAGCATCGGCGTCTCGGATTCCGCAACCCGACAGCCTGAACACAGGTTGCGAGGTGCGGCAATGCAAGCTAGGCGAACAGTCGAAGCTTTCAGAAGCTTGCTTTTCTTATTCGTTGTAACGGAGGGTTTAGGGTTATGGGTTTCGGGTTTAGGCTTCATGGGAGGTAGGTACCTAGGGAAGCTTAGGGAGCCTGAAGGATTGGGCCACATATCCCCCTTGAACCCCCCTCCCTTAGGAACCCTATAATTTTCTCCGCAGGATGGAGAGTAGCGGTTTAGGGTTTAGGGTTTAGGGTTTAGGGTTTAGGGTTCAGGGTTAGGAGCACAGTGGCTTGTTCATGCCATCCCTACAGGCTTATCCCTCTCAGCCCGCGCGAACACTTATACTGTTGGGGGATATGCATCTCAAGCCGTGCACGCGGAGTCGTACCTAACAGGGCAGTCCCCTAAAGCAGGATCCTTGTGTAATCCTGACTACAATGAAGGAACCCTAAACTCTAAACCCTACACCCTAAGCCCTAAACCCTAAAGGCATTTTCGCCTTGGCCTCAGCACAAGCTCTCCTCCCTGAAATCTCGAAGCCTACACCTCTGCTTTGGTCTAAACGGAAGCTGCAGGACCCATTGCCACCTTCTTTCAGAGTAACCTTGTGCCTTAAAACAGGGTATGTTTTTCTCAATAACTTAGGAACATTACCCTCTTCAAGGGTACGGGTTTAAGGGTTTAGGGTTTCGGGTCTAGGGTCTAGGGTATGAAGCCCTAAAGCCTAAACCCTTAACCCTCTCAGTGCCCAAATCGACGAAGGCAACTGTCGTCCTTCTCGCAGTACCTGGTGTCTTTCCGCCGTGCAACTCCTCGAAGCTTGTGCGGTTGCGCTTGCTCTGGGGGTTAAGGGTTGAGGGTTTAGGGTTTAGGGTTTTTGGTTTAGGGCTTAGGGTTTAGGGTTTAGGGCTTGGGGCTTAGGGGCCAAAATTGAAGGGGTTGATGTTTGCAACAGCGGACCCTACTTATAAGCCGAAATGGAAGGGATTGAAGGCCCTGGAGTGACTTCAACTTGCCAACCCTAAACCCTAAACCCTAAACCCTAAACCCTAAACCCTAAACCCTAAACCCTAAACCCTAAACCCTAAACCCTAAACCCTAAACCCTAGGGAAAGAGCCCCCGACGGCGCATAGGTAAGCCTCCGATGTTCCTACTGAGGAGCCCCAAGCCCGAAGCCCTGTACCCCAAATCTCTTACTGCCCTAAACCCTCTACCCTCTCCTAGGCAGGATACCTGAAAGGGGAACGCTTCTTAGTCTTAAACAGGGACTTTATTGAGAGGGTCTATGTCCTTAAGGTTCCCCCTAATCCTATCCCGTGTAAACCCTATACCCCAACCCCAAACCCTTAACCCTACCCTAAACCCTCAAAACCCCAAGCCCTGATATGCAAGCCCATGCAAGGTAATGCTGCCGATCGTGCCAGCGCCTATTGATCTCTCCAGTCAGTACGAGATGCTCGTTTGCGTCCGAACTCTTGAGCCCCAAGACCTGTGCCTAGGTTTAGGTTTTAGGGTTTAGGGATAAGAGTTTACTAACCCTGTACCTGAAAAAAAAGGGGGTATATTTCCCAGTCATAAAGGTACATTGCCCTTTTTAAGGGTACAAAGGTCGCTAGATACACAAAACCCCTATGCCCCTAAATCCCTTTTTCCCAAAGCCCAAGCCTTGTTGAGGTTACCGAGCGAAGGACAACCAGCCCTCCACCCAAGCCTATAGGGTTCTTAAGGGAAACCCTAAACCCTAATTCCTAAACCCTGAACCCTAAACCCTAAACCCTAAACCCTAAGTTCCCTAATACTCCCAGGACTCCCTAAAAGTTCCCTTAGGTTCCCTCAGGTTCCCTTAGGTTCCCTTAGGTCCCCTTAGGTTCCCTAGGTACCTACCCCCTTGAACCCCCCCCCCCCCTTGAGAACCCGATAATGAAGCGAAGGATGCTTTTCGACATTGGCAACAACATCGTCACCATGTTGGCTCTCGGCGTGGCAGTCTTCAAGATCTCGGCAACAGTGTGCCCAGGCTCGACAGGAACACAGGCTGGCGTAGCAGAGGCATCTATTTTTGGCTATGCCGAACACACACAGTGCGACTGACACGTACTAAACAGTGTAGTCCGCAGGCTTCAGGCGGCACATGCTCTTAGCGCTCGGAGGACCAGAAAAGCAGTGCCCGGCTATCGCAGGAAATCCGAGAGGCTGATCAAAAGCTAACAAACCTCGAAAGCACCCCATGCCCTCAACACGAAGTGAAGGATGCCCCCCCCCCCCCCGGAGAAGGAGGGTTTAGGGGTTTCTGCAGCTTAGGGGTTGAAACCTTAAACCCTATAAATAGCCTATAAACCCTAAACCCTATAAATAAACCCTAATCCCTACAAATAGCCTATAAACCCTAAACCCTAAACGGGTTGCTTCGTAGCTGGTGGAGCGGAGTCTGGGTTTCAGAAGGATCAGCCCGAAGTGCTACAGCTCAGGGTTTAGGGTTTAGGGTTTAGGGTTTAGGGTTTAGGGTTTAGGGTTTAGGGTTTAGGGTTTAGGGTTTAGGGTTTAGGGCGACGGAGCCGGGCAGTTCCTTGTCTGCCCCACGCGCGAAGGCTGGCGTACCGAACTCTTCGACGGAGCGTTCTGCCACACCGTTCGCTGGCGCCTGGGTGTGCCGACCACCTCAGAGGGCCAGACCTGCCACATCCGCTGCCAGGCGTCGGGTGGATGCTGTGCACAACTGCACAACCACTGTGGACCCGCTGGGCCACCACGCAGTCGTGTGCAAATGCGGGGGATTCAAAACATTCCGCCACTCCCGTCTTGTCCACGGCTGCGTGGTGTGCTCCGCGAGTCCGGGGCCGTTGTGCCTGCCCGTGAAGTTGAGGTGCCCGGATGGCAGCGTGCTGACGGCACGCGGGCGCGGCTAGACGTCGCGTTCGCGTGGGCAGGCCGTGAGTGCTATGCAGACGTCACCATCCGGCACCCATGCGCCGTCAAGTATGTCAGACAGGCGGGTGCGCAGGACGGGGCCACGCTTCGTCTTGCGGAGGCTGGCAACTTAAGCGGTCGCACTACCCTGCTGTCGCCGCCGCGGGGCTGGATGCGGTCGAGCCCTTCGCTGTTGAGACAGTCGGCCGGCTCGGGCCGAACGCGGTGCGCCTGCTCCGGACGGCGGCAGCAGGCAGCGGAGCAGCAGGCCCCATACGCACGCTGGGCGGGCCCTGCCTTGCACCAGAAATGGCTCGCGTCCCTCAGCTGCTCGCTTCAGCAGACCCTGTATGAGGCCTCGAGAGCGCGGGCCATCGCCCCTCCCGAAGCTGACCTGAGTGGGTTCGGGCGCTAGGGGTAGGTCGGGCCGGCTGTGGCACCTTCACTAGTCTCACACAAAGACAGACAAGAAAAAAAACCTTATTGAACTTTTGAACTCTTAAACCCATAAAACCTTAAACCCTTAAACCCTTAAACCCTTAAACCCTCAACGCCGTAAACCTCCCAACTTGGAAGCGATCAAGGCTCGAGCTGCGGGCCATGAATGAAGGCAGGCTGAAACAGCAGCGTGAGATCCGCCGCCCCCTGGGACTGCAAATGCTTGGAGGTTCAGGTTTAGGGTTTAGGGTTTATAAGGTTTAGGGTTTAGGGTTGAGGGTCCGGGTTTAGGGTTTATAGGGTTTAGGGTTATAAGGATGTTTCCCAACATGGGGGGTACCCCTTTTATGCCCCCAATAGAATCCAATCCCCTGAAAGGGACTCCCAAAAAGGGTACCCCGATTTTCGGAAACCCCCATAACCCCAATTGTAGCTGTACTGAAATGCCCCCTAAATCCTTTAAGAGGCTGTAGTTAGACTTATAGTTGGGGAAAGAAGTACCCATAACCTAGAAAGTAGGGAGTAGGGTTGAGGGCATCGGATCCCGCGAAAGGTCGATTCCATAACTTTACTCTACACCTAAAGTCTTATGGCCCTCCATTCCAACTAAACCCCTAAAACACCAAACCTTAAACCCTAAGCCCCTAACCTTTGATCCGAGCCCCAAACAACTGGATGACCGGATGAAGTTTTCCACTGATTTCAGTGGCACCGGGGATGACAAGCGAACCTTTTGCAGAATGTTCCCTGTACACGTAGGGGCCCCTTAGGTATAAGTAGAGTTATAAGGACCCTAACTTGGGTTGTACGGATCCCAACCTAGGTTATAAGTCCCTGAACTATAGTTAGTATAGTAAGTGGGCCCGTTTAGGGTTCAGGGTTTACGGTTTAGGGTTTAGGGTGTAGGGTTGTTCTCACTAAACGGGGAAGAGTGCTGGCCAGGGGAGTCTCGGGAAATGCCTCAAGATCCAACCGTGGCCCTCAAAGCCAGCCCTAAACCCTAAACCCTAATCCCTAAGCCCTATAAACCCCAAACCCTTAAAAGCCAGCCCTAAACTGAACCATTGTTCGACACAATCGAAAGCGCTAGAAGACCCTAAGCCCCTCAAATTAAGGCCCAAAACTCACCCCCTCTGCCCTAAACCCTAAACCCTAAACCCAAAAACCTAAACCCGACTCAACTTTGGGGACTTCAGGCTACCTGCGATCCCAGCACGCCCCCTTCGAGCTTGTCGCCCGGGTCTTGAAGTTCGTGGAGTACAAGCTGGAAAGGAACCCTGTCTTCAGGGTTTAGGGTTTAGGTTTAGGGTATACATAATGTATATATATATATATATACATAATACAGAAGTAAACAAATAGATAATATATATATATATATATATATACATACGCGTGTGTACTTTTTGTAGGACCTAGGAACCAGGGGAGGCCCTTTTTCCCTTGTTTGAGGGTTTAGAGCCCCTTTTTTGTTAACCAAACAGGACACCCTTTTTATTCCTTCGGTTTCTCTTGGGTCTGGTATGTATATACCTACCTACATACATACATACATGCATACATACATACATACACACAGATGTAGATAACTGTTGGTGATATATATATATATATACATATATATATATGTATACACACATGCTAGGGGAGGCCCGTAGCTTCCAGCAGTGGCAAGATGTGGAAGAACGATGTCTACACGTATATATATATATATATATATATATATATTATCATATAGCTTAGAGGCAGGTGGCAGCCAGGCATGTACGCACGATCCTTCACCCTACTCACACCGTTTTCTGTCACGACGTAAGTCCCCTTTCTATAGGGTTGACGAATATGTAGGTCAGATTTGGGTTTCTATGCTCTTCAGATGCAGGGGTACTCAAGGCCGAACATGTAAGCTTCAACCCTACACCCTAGACCCTAAACCGTAGACCCTAAACCCTAAACCCTGGCAAGTCAAGGATACAGCCGAACCACTACAACACCAGCCTCATCTCGATCACCTTGCAGACAGAGCCTTGGGTTGCCATTTGGTGCCCGTTTGGCGCTTTCTTTTTTGGGGGGGGGCTTCAAGGTTACCTAATCAAAAGTAGTCAACCCAAAAAAGGGTTTCGGGCTGAAAGGGTTTAGGGTTTAGGGACACCCTTATTGTAGTTCATATCCTTGCTGGGCTGCCCAGGAGCTGTGCGTCAACCAGCGCTCTCCATACTTGCTGGCGGGCGGCTTTTGTTCCAGTTGCCACGGTATGATGCCTGTGTCGAGTGTAGTGTGCCGATTCTGTGATGCTCTATCCCCTGAACCCTCTGTGATGCTCTATCCCCTGAACCCTCTGTGATGCTCTATCCCCTGAACCCTAAACCCGAAACCCTAAACCCTAAACCCCTGCACCCCCGAAACAGGCGATGCCAATCTGCCAACTCGCCAAAGAAGTCTTCCCAGAGGCCGCCGGGCTAACATGGTGAGATTGGTTTGCCTACAAGGCTTGGGGCCCCTCCACCTAAACCCTAAACCCTGAGTAGAAGTAGAGCTGTAAGGGCTCAGTTAGGTTGCGGGCGTTCTAAGTTCGGAGTTGGTATGGAGGAGTAGGCGGGGGCAGGAAGGGGTTGTATCAACGAAGGACGTATTGATTTTGTAGCCGTAGCCATAGCCAGGGCAGTCTCATAGCAATTGCCCTTGCAAGGCCCCTCGACCCAACCCTCTCTGTTGCTTTTTTTTGATGTCCTTGATCCCTAAACCCTAAACCCTGAACCCTAAACCCTAAACCCTCAACCCTCAACCCTCAACCCTCAACCCTCAACCCTCAACCCTCAACCCTCACGCCGCTGCTGCATAGTGAAACCACGGTTCTGGTTGTGGTTTCAATTGCGCGAAGTTCCGATTTCGAAACAGCAGAGAGCCGCAGAGGCCAAAGGGAGGGGCCCCCTTACTAAAGTTAAAGGGACACTGCTTGTAGACCTAAGCTAGGATCCTTGTAGCCCAACTTTTCGGTCCTTATAACCCTACTTGTAACTGGGAGGGCCCCTCCCCCCTAAACCCTAGAATCCTAAACCCAAAACCTAGTGAAACCCTGCACCCCCTCCTTTGTACAGACGTCCTTCTGAGGCCTTCGCGAGCGTGTGTGTGGCTTTGAAGCGCATGGTCTGCGAGAACCGCGAGGAGACATCCATGAGCCCGCTTAGGGTTTAGGGTTTAGGGTTTAGGGTTTAGGGTTTAGGGTTTAGGGTTTAGGGTTTAGGGTTTAGGGTTTAGGGTTTAGGGTTTAGGGTTTAGGGTTTAGGGTCCCTAAACTCCCAGGATAGGCCCAAGCTAGTCGGCTTTGTTTCAATCTGCGAGGCAAACGCCAGTTCCATGACGCTCTCTATCTCGGTAGGCCCTTCAAGCATTTTACATTTTCCCTTATTGGGTTTTAGAGGAACATATTTAGGAAGATTTTTCAGAAGGCTTTCAGGGCCATCCTAGTTGGGGTAAGCCAGGCAAAAGCTTGAACACTAAACCTCAAGGTTTTGGGGGCTTAGGGTGCACAGCTTTACTATTATTCCCTTAAGAACCACCCAAACCTGAGAATATTCTTCCTTATAAGGGCGATACATGATTTTTATTCTTCCTTTTTTGGGGTGCTTTCTAAGCCTAAACCCCAAATAGGGGTTGGTTTTGGGTCTTGGGGTTCAGGTTTGCAGTACTGTAACTTAGGATCCTAAATCCCATAGCTGCAGAGACGAGAGTGCTTGCAGAAATCCCATAGCTACAATCCGGATTGCAAGAGAGGGGCGGGGGGCTGGGGCTCCTTGAAGGGTTGATGGAAGAGCCAAATCCCAGTAAACGCCCAAAGCTTTGAGCCCGTCCCCTGTGGGGGGAGATATCCGAGAAGAAGCCGCCCGGAGCCGTCCTGAATCCTAAATCCTAAACCCTAAACCCTAAACCCTAAACCCTAAACCCTAAACCCTGTCATCTCCGAGAGGAGATATTCATCGCCGGCTCGATCACCAACCGCATGTATGTGACGGTGGCCGGCACCTACATTCTCCAGGTGCCTTGAGGGGGTTAGGGTTGAGCGTTTCGGGTTTAAGGTTCAACCCTAAACCCTAAACCCTAAAAAAAAAACCCTAAACCCTAAACCCTAAACCCTTTAGGGCTTGTTTAGTGTTTTCGTTCGGGTTGTTTGGGTTTACGGGCCTTCCTGAGGGATGAGAGCTCCTCGGTGCCCTGTGTGGCTGCGCCCCACACCCTTTTGTCTTTGAAAACCCTAAACCCTAAACCCTAAACCCTAAACCCTAAACCCTAAACCCTAAACCCTAAACCCTAAACCCTAAACCCTAAACCCTAAACCCTAAACCCTAAACCCTGCCCCTCCCCCCAAGAACGAGGCAAAACCCTGTGCATTTGGGATGTTCCCCCTAAGACTAACAGTCCTTGATAGGGACGATAATAGGGGGTGCAAGAATCCCTATTGAGGACTGTTAGCATGAGAGGGAACATCCCAACTATAAACCTTATAAACCAAAACATGCATAAACCCTACAAACCCTATGCGCCCCCCTCCCCCCCACAACAAAAACCACACATCAAACCCCAACAACAACAAAAGCAACAAAAACATAAACCCTTTCAACTCTACAAACCTTATAAACCCTACATATATATATATATATATGCATATATATATATATATCTATATATATATGTATATGTATAAACCCTAGTCCCCAAAGGTGGGGGCTAGTGTGGGGCACCCTGGCATTGCACAGAAAGTCGTTTAGGGTTTAGGGTTTGGGGTTTGGGGTTCAGGGACCCATCCTGAACCCAAGATCCTAAGGCGTTTTAGGGTTTAGGACTTAGGACGAGAGGGCCGGGGGGGGGGGATGGGGGGTGGGGGGTGAGGGGGGTGGGGGTGGGGTGGGGGAGGGGGGGGGGGTGGGCTTCCAAACGATAGGGTACCCTTTTGACACCCAAAGTCGATAAAGGGACCCCCATCGGAAAGAGGAACAGGAGGACCCTAGACCCCTTATAAACCTCCAAAATGAACCCTAAACCCTAAACCCTAAACCCTAAACCCTAAACCCTAAACCCTAAACCCTAAACCCTAAACCCCCAAATATGAACAGGAGGGCCTCCATGGGGATGGCGAAGAGCTGGAGCTAACAGGCCCTGGGGCATGCTTGTCTGGGGGTTAGAGGGTTGGAGGGTTTAGGGTTTAGGGTTTAGGATTTAGGGTTTAGGGTTTAGGGTTTAGGGTTTAGGGGCGCGCAGCACGTTCACACCGTTTACAAGAGCACTGAAGCGCCAGGAAGTGCTTGGCTTGTGGAATTCCCTGCAAACTTCCGGGGTCCGAACAATTGGGTGATTAGAATGGTGATAAGAGGATTTAGGGCTGAGGGTATAGAGCCATGAGGGTTCTGGGAGCTTCGGGTTTAGGGTTTAGGGGGTTCAGGGTTTAGGGTTTAGGATGGTTTAATGTGAGGTGCATAGCAGGCTCAGTTCTCACCTCCAGGCCGAGCGTGTCCAGGGTTCCGGGCATCAAATTTGAAGGCAACCCTAAACCCCAAACTCCAAACTTCAAACCCTAAACCCTAAACCCCAAACCCGAAACCCTACACTTCCTGCCCAGAGGGCTCAGGGTTTCGAGGCGTGGAGGCTGCGGGGCTTCATAGGGGAGGTTACATGCTGCAATGTGACTCCTTCGTTGTCCCAAACCCCAACTCCCAAACTCCATACCGCAATCGGGGATCCCGAAACCTGAGCCTGCAGCCCTAAACCCCAAACCCCCAAGTCCTAAACTCCCAAACCTCCATAACTTACACACAGCCAGCCCCCTTGGATGCCCTGCTACTCAAGAGGAGCCCCTTGAAGGCCCATGTACTTACTTTAGGTACATGAGATGGTTTCGCAAACCTGTCAACCTGAAAGCAACCGAAAAGGTGAGATTTAGGAGAAGGGCCTCTAGGGTTTAGGGTTGAGGGGCCTCCTTAGAGCCCTGAAGAAGAAAGTGGATAGACAACGCCCGCAAGGCGTCCACTGCTTGGAGGAGTTTTCTCTCTACATGGTTCCTCGGCTGTGGAGTTCGCCTTAGCAGTAGAGTAGGTAACCTTTAATACTTTGGGGCCCTATCATCCCGTCGGATGGTGCGAGACATGCTTTTGTTGAAACAATTGGCTGGGATGCTTGTACCAACATGTGGTTCCCTCAACCGACACCACGTGACCGTGTGAAGCAGGCAGAGGTGCAGAAGAAGAAGCCTATGAGTAGGCGGCATGCTTCAGGTGTTGAGAGTTTGCTTCGCACCCCGGGCATCTTGCACGTGTCTGCGTTTTTGTTTCACCGTTCGGGGCACAGCGGTTGCTTTAAGATTTCGCACCCTGAGGTTTGCTTGCCATTCGAGCCTTGAGATTACTTTCTTTCACCCTGTTCAAGCTGCACCTTGTATACCAAGCTGTTCGAGCTATGGCCTCCCAACGCAAAGCAGGGTCTGCCCGACCCTTGGCTGGGGTGAAGGCGCTGTGCCTTCTTGCAGCAGGAGTTGCTCTGAGCCGGCTGCAACCCATGTCAGAAGATGTCGCAAGCAGCCAGGCCTTCGTGAACATGCAGGCCTCCCCTGCGCACTCTGCCACCTCTCGCGCTGCGGAGGGTGAGGGTGAGGCACCTTTGGCGCCTTCGGCCGGGAAGCGTCTGCTGGTTCTTGGCGGCAACGGCTACGTCGGGCGTGAGGTCTGCCGTCTTGCCGTGCAGAGGGGCTTCAAGGTCACCTCACTCAGCAGACGAGGTGAGAACCCGGAGCCCGGCAATGCAGAGCTCGACCAGGTCAAGTGGGTGCAGGGCAATGCGGCAGACTCCTCTACTGTCCAGAGCCTTGTAGGGGATGCCGATGCCGTCGTTCATGCCATCGGCTTGCTGTTTGACGTGAACAGCGGCCTCACAAACCTCAACCTCGTCGTGAGCGGATCCGGCTCCACGCCCGATGATGCCAGCACCTACGACCGAATCACGCGCCAGACGGCCTTCAACGTCATCAACGCCATCAAAGGTCGCATCCGCATTTAGGGTTTTTTAGCTTTTAAAAATCCCCTAAATACGGCCTTCAATGTCATCAACGCCATCAAAGGTCGCATCCGCATGCCGTTCTCGCCGCCCATGCCAATGATGTTCGTCTCGGCGGCAGAGGCAGGATGGCCAGACGTGGCCCTTGGCCCGCAGGTGGCCAGGTTGGCTTTTGGGGACATTTTCTGTTTTCCTTATGTGGGTTTATATACGGGAGCCTATAATATGTATATATATATATATAGATAGACATATATATATATACAGTATATATAATTTTGTGTGTATCTATCTATATATATATATATCTATTTGTTTGTCTTTTTCAGAGGCTTTAAAGGCCAGCCCAGGTGGAGAAGGTGGCGCCGACGTGGCTGAAGGAATATTTGGTGGCCAAGCGTGCGGTTGAGGGCGAGCTCAGCTCGAGCGCAGATACTTGGCAGCCCTGGGTTCCCTTTTTCCTTGTTGTTCTTGTTTTTTTTTTTTTTTTTTTTTTTTTTTTAATCTTCTTCTTCTTCTTCTTATTCTTCGGTTTTTTGGGTTTAGGGTTTAGGATTTAGGATTTAGGGTTTATGCCTGAGAGAGAGAGGGTTTGGGGTTTGGGGTTTGGGGTTTAGGGTTTAGGGTTTAGGGTTTAGGGTTTAGGGTTTAGGTTAGGGTTTAGGGTTTAGGGTTTAGGGTTTAGGGTTTAGGGTTTAGGGTTTAGGGTTTAGGGTTTAGGGTTTAGGGTTCCCCTTGTACAGTAAAACATCCAGAAAGGGTACGTACCTTTTATGGTAATTCTGGTTCCTGGGCTACCAAGGATGCCATCAGGGCTGCCATCTTCAGGCCATCGCTGATTTGGAGCTGGACCAAGTTTGACGTTCTGCCGGTCATCCCAGTCTTCAACCTTCTCAATGCCCTTGGCGTTCCTTTCGTTGCTTGGTAGCCCAGTGGTACCCTTTTCCTTTTTTTGGTTCAAGGTCCCCTTACAAATTATCCAACCAAAATCTTATGCCCAGTGGTACCCTTTTCACTTTTTTTGGTTCAAGGTTCCCTTATAAATTAACCAACCCAAAAAAAGGGTTGCCCTTATTTTCATATAGTTTCTGGCGTACCAAGGTTGACAAGACCGTGACGGTCTTCACCCTTTCGAAAGCCATTGTGGCGGCACTGGAGGACGAGGGCGTCAGCGGCGTTCAGCGGTTCACTGAGATGGAGGAGCTGGAGAAGAAAGTTGCCTAAGTACTTATAGGTTCCTGAGGCCCATAAGTGCCCTAGCTATGGTTAGAAGTACAGTTGTAAGTACAGTTATAGTTGGTTAGTAAGTACCATGAATCTCTAAGTAAGATGTCCTCAGATCTGTGGGGCAGAAGTACAAAGCATCGAAAGGAGCGTCGCCATGCAATAGCCCCCTCCTCCTAAAATCTATACATTTCCTTGGTGCAACTGCCCAGTTTCTCATCCTACCACAGGCTTTACAAGCAGGGGCCCCCCTAGTTCTAAGCAGAGTTATTATTCATGGGCTTTTAAGGATCCGAACCTCGGTTATACGTCCCTTGACTATTGTTAGTATAGTTCCGTGGCCCCTCCTTGTGACGCTTGTGCGGTGCCTGTTGTTGCTTCACTTTTCAGATGCATTTTTCTGAGAATTGCGCATCCGGACCTTTTCACAGCTGACTTGGCGGCTGTCTCTTTGACTCCGAAGGACACAGGCGACCAACAAAAAGAACCGGATTCGCTACTATTTGCTTACACCCCCCCCCCCCCCAACAAAAAAAATGACAATAAATCGAGGAAGAATAAAACTGTATATATATATATATACAGACGCACAAGCAATATTCTTCCTTATAAGGGCAATATAGGGAGCATTGCTCTTTGGTTTTGGGTGGTTCTTAAGCAACTCGAACATAACATATTCTACCTTGCAGGGGCAATCTAGGGAAGATTCTTCTTTAGTTTTCCTGGGTGGCTCTTAAGCAACAGTCGGATTCGTCGCGCCCTTGCGCGCGTTCACTTAGCTCTAGAGCTTGCCTCGGGCCGTTGAGGCTTCAGCGTCCTTGCAGAGGGTTTAGGGTTTAGGGTTTAGGGTTTCGGGTTTAGGGTTTAGGGTTTAGGGCTTTGAAACCCTACCTCCGGCCAAGGAAGCCGTCCCCCACAACGCGACACTCACCGCCCGGACCTTCGCAGAGCTTCTGACCCTGGAGGGTGATGACTTGGCCACCTGGCATGGGGAGTTAAGGGTTCGGGGTTCAGGGTTTCGGGTTAGGTAGCTCAGCCAAGAAACACTGCGAGGCCTAACCCATATAATGCTACCTCTCAAAACCCTAAACTCCAACAGCCTTCACCCGCAATTCTTCATGGTCGATTTTCCTAAAGACTTGCCATGCCGATTTTCGGCTGCTCGGTAGCTGGCCATGATCGCCTCCCCAGAGTTCCACAATGTTCCACAATTCTAGGACCCAGAGCAGGCCCTTATTCACCTTGTTTCGGGTTGGGATTCCCTTCTAAGCCACTTTTAGCCCATGCTTTTTTACAGCATGCTGGATCTGAGCCTCGCGGGCATCGATGCAAGGATTGGCGAATCCTTAGCCCTTGTCAACTCCTAGGTAACTCGTGGTCTAGAATTCTGCCCTAGAAACTCCCTAAAACACAGCCGAACAGCGAGACCAAAGCTCCACTCACACCACAGCCTTAGAGACCGCGCAAACCCTAAACCCGAAATCCTGAGCCCTGAGCCCTAAGCCCGAAACCTAACACTCCGTGCCTCGCCTGGCTTGTCGGAGCGTGCGCGATTAAGCCCCACCTAACATGGTTATTGCGGCTACTAAGAATCTCAACGTTCGCCCTTTGAGGCTTGCGCTCCGGAATAGACTCCTTTGAACCTCAACTTCGGCCCATCTGGGGTTCATTTCAAGGTTTTCAGGGTTTGGGGTCTATGGTTCAGGCATGAAAGTTTAGGGTTTTTAGGGTTAGGGCTTATGGTCCTTCTCAAAAAACGAAGGGACTTAGGGTTTAGGATTTGAGGGTCTTAGGCTTGAAAGGGTTTTAGGGTCCAGCCTTCAGTGGGCCCTTCCTCCTTGTCTTGGAGGGCGAGGTCCCCATGTCTTCCCGGGGTTTAGGGTTTAGGGTTTAGGGTTTAGGGTTTAGGGTTTAGGGTTTAGGGTTTAGGGTTTAGGGTTTAGGGTTTAGGGTTTAGGGTTAGGATGCTCCGCTGTTAGAAAAGGTGGAACATCCCTTGGTTTAGGGATGTTTGGAGTTTTTTTGCTGGGCTCCGGGTCGCCCAGATGCTCTTTGTGAGGGGGTTTAGGGTTTAGGGTTTAGGGTTTAGGGTTTAGGGTTTAGGGTTTAGGGTTTAGGGTTTAGGGGCCCCAGGTGCGATCTCTGCAGAAGCACCCGGCCTGTGCGGCCATGTTCTTCGAGTACAGCAAGGAGTTCGCCTCGATGATGCCCAAGGAGAGCCGAGCAAGGATAAAAGACCCTAGACCCTAAACCCTAAAGCCTATACCCTAAACCCTAAACCCTAGGCCTTGGGATGTTGCCCCCTTACACTAGCAGTCCTTAGTTGGGATAAACGACCCCGTATTGTACTCCTTTTAAGGACTGTTAGTGTAAGGGGGCCCATATAGTCTCTGAAGATTGGGATTTTCGCCTTACACAAACAGTCAGTAGGGTACTATGATCCCTATCTTTTTAAGGACTGCTAGTAAAGGGGAACATCCCAACCAAAAGACCCTAAAGAACGACCAAACCCTAAACCCCCAACCAAAACCCCAAACTAAACCCTAAACCCTAAACCCCAAACCCTAAATCCTAAACCCTAAACCCCGAACCCCAAACCCTAAACCCTAAACCTTAAAGCCCTCCCAGTTGGGATTGCCCCCTAAACCCTAAACCCTAAACCCTAAACCCTAAACCCTAAACCCGGCGGCCACCCGGGGCAGGATGAGCAAGGCTACCTGGACCGTGTAACGCAGGCGGGTCTGCACCCTGGTAGGGCTTGGGTTCAGGGTTTAGGGTTCAGGGTTCAGGGTTCAGGGTTCAGGGATTGGGGTTTGGGGTTTGGGGTTTAGGGTTAAAAGTTTCGGGTTTCGGGTTTAGGGTCTTGGGTTTCGGGTTTAGAGCGATTCCTTCAGCCAGGGTGGCCAGAGCAAGTGAAGCAAGCGGAGCTACAACGCCGAAGCCCAAACCTTTGCGCCCCGCCCAGCGAGAGCCGAACACCCGCTTCGTTCAGGGATATTCGCTATACAGGGATCCGAGTGTCAGTTGCGATCTCAACCCTACGCCCTATAGCTATACACCTAAACCCAAAAAAACTCTGTACACCCTAAAACCTCTGAATCCTAAACCCTGAAACCGCAAACCGAAGTAGACTCTTCTTGCTCTAGGCCTCGTTGGCCGAGCGCGCGTGCAAGATGACACGGGTGTACCAGGCCCGCTCCCAAGATACTCTTTGCAGGGGTTTTGGGTTAAGGGGTCTAGAGGTGTAGGTTTTAGGGTGTAGGGTTTACTTGGAGGTTCATGTGTACTTAAAGCCCTAATTGTAGCTGTACTTATACCCCCCCCCTGAGTCCCCATAGTAGGGTAGAAGCACAGTGAAAGTTTGGGCGATAAGCTCCAAGTGGAGGGTCCCTAGAGTCAGGATCAAGCATTTGGGAAGCTGCCCGAAGGGGTTTAGTGTCGAAAATAAATAACTCAAAGCGACAATCCCTACATGGCCCTTCTTAATTATAAGGACCCTAAACCCTAAACCCTAAACCCTAAACCCTAAACCCTAAACCCTAAACCCTAAACCTCTTTAAGCAGGTAGTAGAGAACCCTAAGCCCCATGAGACGATGCCGCTGCCTCAGGAGATGTACCCGGATGAGAAGTTCAGGCCAGGCCTTCCGGGCTTGGGGTTTCGGGCTTGGGGTTTAGGGTTTAGGGTTTAGGGTTTAGGGTTTAGGGTTTAGGGTTTAGGACTTGGGGCTTAAGGTTTAGGATTTTGGGTCAAAACAAGGGTTTATACATCTAGATGTAAAAGAAGTAATGTTGTACACTCTTTACTGTTGTGCCTCCCCCCCCCCCCCCCCCCACGAACAGTCGAGGCTGGATTTTGCTCGGTTTAAACGAAGCCGGTCTTTTTTTAATGGGGGGGAGAGGGGGGGGGGGGAGTTTATACAAATTTCCAAGGGATCCATATGAATTTAAAAGGCATGAGCTTATCTGAATTTAAAAGGGATCCATATGAGTTTAAAAAGGGATGAGCTTATATGAATTCTCACAGGGGTCCATATGAATTTCAAAGGGATGAGCTTACATGAATTTGAATTTAAGAGGGAACCGTGTGAATTGAACAGGGGCCCGGGATGAGTTCTTATGAATTTAAGAGGGACCCATCTGATTTTTCCAGATTCGGAGCCTCCGGGCCGGGACCTTGACATAAAACAGGGTCCCAAATCAGTGCCATTATTCGGGGCCGAAGGGGGCTCCGGGACCACCCCTTTGTCGGATTGAACGAGACCTATGTTTAAAATGGTTTCTTAAAGGGAATTTATGGTTTCGGGCCGGTTGGAAAGGATGAGGTCGGCCTTTAAAATCACAAGGTCCGGCTTTAAAATCACAAGGCCCGGCTTTCAGCCAAGAGACCAAGGCATCCAAATTCGGAGACCAAGTCCTTAAAAACAAATGCCGGATTTCGGGAACCGTTTGACTGTAAAGAGGGACTCCCAAACAGTCAGGGTGTCCTGAATAACCCAGCCAAATTGACTTTATGTGCAACATTATATTTATGGATATATAAATATATGTATACACTTTTGGTCCCTGTGTCTGAAGCATATTGCAAAAAAGAGAGGGTTGCGTCTAGGGTTTCAAGTTTGGCCACTCCAATTTGTTGACGTCCTTTCAGGCCGGCGATATGGTTCCAAGTTCCAACCGTAGACTATGGTTTTGCAAGTGAGGTGTCGGTGTCGCCCTGTCAGCTTCGAAATACATCATACGAAGCTCCGGGGTCCAGTATTGTCAAGTATTATTTAAGGTTTAGGGTTTGGGGTTGTTGGAGTCTCAGGGGGACAGTGCTGTCGCAGAAGAGTCGCCAGATTTTTGGCCAGCCACTGAACCAGAACCCTAAACCGCCAGACTTTAGCCGTTAAGTTCTAAGCTGGAACCAGGGCCCCTTAGTATGGCCCCTTACCCTTGCTTATAGGGATCCGAAGTAGTTAGTGGGCCTTAGTATATATAGTGAATATTGTCACTTCTC